GAGCTGCTCCATTTCCACCCTTGGTAGAGGTAAAAGGCTCAGTGGCAGCTGTATTTTGCCGAAGAGGAGCCTGCTTCTCCTCTATTACAAAGATCACCTCATCATTTAGGGGAATGATCTGGAAGGGAGAGAAGACAGTGAAGATCCATTTCTGACTCAGTTGTGTTTGGTTTCAGTTCATTACCGAGCAAACCCAGGGGTGCATCCTGAAACACCTGGTAAAAGTCTTCAAGGCCAGACACTTGAGAAGAAGTGGAGCTTGGGGCCCCTGCGTCAAGTTGCCAACAAGTAACTCTGGTTATCTCTAAATAGTCATGCCACTAAATTCCAATTCTGACTCCAGCACAGATCTCTTTGGTGAGGTGGGTCACAGCTGCCAGTTTAGGGCTGTACATAGAGTTGATACTCTATGTCCACATGGTTTAGGATTTAAAAGAAAAATCTCTTCAACTAGAAACCTCCTTATATTTGAAAAGGTAGAAAGCATGTGGGTGGGTCGGTAGGTCTCAGAAAGAGACAGAGAAAGTGACACAGAACACAAAGGAGTAAACAGGAAGCGGGGGAGAGAGGGAGAGAGAGAGAGAGAGAGAAAAGAGGTGCTTCTCTCTGAAAACTTCATCAGTACACCAAACACTCTGCCACAATAGCTGCCACATGGCTCAGCCCTTGCCCTTCAGCCTCACTGCCAGGTATTTTTGGGTGAAATCACAAGAGGCTTAATCCTGCCTCTGGGAGTAGGGCAGGGGGCAGGGCTGGGTAAACTATAATGAGATGATTTTAAAGCACTATTAACTTTTTCCATTTTAACTGATATTTCTGGATGAGGCACCAGCTCTCTTGGGAGGCCTGTTCTAAGGCATTCCATGGAACCCAAAGCCAGCTATAAAAGTCTAGCTCAGGACAGAGCTGCTGGGGAAAGAGCTGCACTTGAATCTCTAGTCATTCCAAGTCTCAATTCAGAAGGCCACAATTAGGGAAGAAGGCTGCCTCCTTCCTTCCCTGTTCCACAAAGAATATAGAATGAAATGATTTCAGAATTCCCTCTACCTCTTATGGTCTAAGAATCAGAATTTCTTGCTTATTAGTTCAGAGGAACATTAATACCCAAATGAAGGCTCAAAGGGGTTGAGTAAATGCCCAAGGATTGCACGGCCAGGAAGCAGCAGAGTTGACCTGCAGAGGCAGGAGCAGCTCTGGTGGACACCAAGCCCAAGTTTTTCTCCCTCACGCGCAGTGCATTAGCACAGGACAAGTCTCTGAGGCTGCAAAAATGAACGAGGTCTAGTCCCCACCCCCAGGAGCTCAGATAGAGGTGAAGGTTTAGAGTATCTTAGGGAGTTGTAGTTCTACTTCCATTAGAGGCTCATCTTGGCCTGGAGAATAGTCTTTCAGTGAGAAACTCTCCTTATACCTCGGAGTTTACACTTATGAAATGAGGAATAATGCCTACTGTCAATTAAAATGCACCTTTTAATATGCTCAAAAATTTACAAAATATTCTAAGGCCCTTAGCACTACATCAATACAAAGTGTCACTCCTATTATTAATGGATAATCACTACCATTCTATAGAACATTTAAGTCTGATGCTCTGTGCATTAATGAAATGAATTTGCTTGGTACTTAAGGCGACCGTATACGAGCTCCTACAGCACCAGCTGACAGGGGCTGAAGGACTGAACCAGATACAAAAAGATTTTGAAGTCCTGATTCCAGTTTGAGTTATGCTAACATAATAAAGAAAAGACCAAGCTTAATTATAAGAAAAATGAGAATGGAGTAGAAGAAAATCCTGGTACAAAAATATGGGGTTAGGAGAAATACATGGGTAACAATCACTGGGTAAAAGAAAGTATCCAACCCTTGAGCCATATTGTTTTTTCATCTCCTGATCTGAATTCACACAGCAGGGTTACATGGCTGCTCAACAGCTGCCGAGATCCATCCCAAGGCAGGTAAAACTACTCCTGGGCAAGAGCGTGCATTGAACAAAATCAACAAGCTCTTTGCCTGCCTCCCATGGGAGACTGCAGACGTCAGAGGGGGCTCTGGCTTAGCGTGCCATAAGGAGGGCTGTGCAGAAAGAGACTCTGGTCAGGGCTCTGTAAAGCCCTGTGGAGTCTGTAGGGAACAATAAGAATGCAGAATATAAATGTAAGCTGCAGGCTGATGGGCCCATTAGGAATTAGGGCAGTCTTTGAAAGGAATCTGCAGAGATGATGCAAAACACCAAGCATGTGACCCAAATCATGGCAGGGCATATTGGAGGGAGAGGGGAATGGGAATGAGACATTTTCTAATCTGATTAGTCTGAAGTTTCCCCTGAGTGTGGAGAAGGGTCACTGCACAATTAGAGGCAAAGTTAGACTGAACATGGTCTGCTTAGCAGCTGAGAGGGATGACCTCCTCAAAGCTAAGCTGGGCTTGGAGACAGATGTGTTCTGAGACTGAGACAAGTTCGAAGCAAGTTGTGAAACAATCTTTTTGCATTTAATGTCAAATCGTAAAGGCAAAGACAAAACAGTCTGCTGAGAGAATGAGAGGATGATGACTTGGTGGCCTCAGCACTGGATAAGAAACATGTAGGTCCTCCAGAGGCCAGGCTCCCACATTACTGGACTTTCCAGGACAACTCATCCTCAAGGCCATCAAAAGATAATCTAATAAACATCCACAGCTTCCTGACTAGAAGACAGCTTAATGTGCGAAAGGCATTCGGATCCAATTGTTGAAAAACATGGCTTCCTCTACATAGAAAGACACAGGTTTCTTCCAGTTTATTTCTAAATCAGTGTGTGTGGTCTACGGTCCCTGGCTTAAATTTCTCTCCTAATTCTCAATCAATTCTTTGCACCAGGTACTGTGCTAGGTATTTTATGTATGTTATCTCAATTAATCCTCAGAACCACTAGGAAATAGGTACAGTTATCTCATTCTAGAGGTAAGAAATCTGAGGTTCAGGCAGGTCAAAATCCTTGCACAAGATCACACAGCTAATAAAGTGGACTCAAGGAATTTAAGAAATGGGGGAGCGGGTAACACTGTCAGGATGTGACAATCCATTGGTTATTTATAGGTGGTAAATCAAACAGAAGCAGTGTCTGCATCTGAATGAATTAAAGGTCAAGCCACAACTCATCATTACAAGGTAAGAAATAAAAAGACACATAAATGGTGCTATGAGAATTCTTAGGAGGAGATAATCACTCTAATTACCAGCCAAACAAATACAACAGAGATTCATGGATATGGTGCCACTTGAAATAGGTTTTGAAGGAAGAGCAAGCTTTTGGCAAGTGAAAACCATGGGGAGCTACTGCCTACTGAAGAACTAGCTAGAAAAAAGGCAAAAACAAAAGTGGGAAGGCGGGAGGTATATGTGTGAAATGCTAAATGGTAGATGTGGGTGGACTACTGGCAACAGGAAGGGGGGTTTTGGAGGTAGGGGGATAATAACTGTGAAGAACTCTGGGTCCAAGGCCTGCCTACTTAATCTCATTTCCTTTATGCCAGGATCCCTCACACTGCTGCTAGCAAGTAAAGCCATATAGAGCTAAACAAAAACAAAATCAAAACAAAACAAATAAAGTTCATAGTCCAGAAAATTATTCCAGGTCAATCCAATGCACACACACACACATCCAATTAGATTTGCTCTCTTCTGGGTTTCCCTCCTGACACCTTGGACCCTAGTTCTCTGACACAGAATTTGTCTTTATTTGTTCCTTTGGTTTCTCCTTTTGCCTTAGACAAGGGCTCCCCACGTCAGCCCCTGTTTGAGGACAATGCTCCAACTGTCAACCCTAAGCCCCACTATGGAGAAGCAGCTTAATTCAAAGTTAAAGAGCTGGTCCTTCCTTAGAGAGCAAAGAGACACCACAGGTTTGTGAGTAAAAGTGTAATATGATGACATACATTTTTGCTCTTAGAAGGTGCTTGGCTGCTATATATAAAGATAAATTTAAACATTTAGAGACTGGTGGATGAAAGACCAATGTGGTGGCACTGCAGTATTCAATAAGCAATGTGGGTCAGAACAAGAATGATGATAGTGGAAATGGAGAGGAGAGAATAGACGCAGGCACTAAGGAGGAGGTAGAACTGTCAAGACATCCTAATCTACTGGCTATTTGTAGACAGTAACTCAAAATGATTAGAAGTGGGGGATGTGCATTTGAAAGGTTCACGATTCAAGTCACAGCTCTTCTTCTTCTGCACCATGTGACTTTGGGCAAAATACCTCATTTCTCTAAACCTCAGCATCCTTATGTATAAGATAGGAAGGATAACAGTTCTGACCTCATCAAGCTGTTCTCAAAAAGTAAATGAGATAACATACCCAAAGCAATGATCGCGATGCCTAGAACACAGCCAAAAATGTCAGAATTATCAAGAAATATAAGTCAGAGGAGGAGCTAGAGTGAGTGATGCTATAGGAAGCATAAGAAATGACCAGAGTCTAGGTGGCTGAGAGGGACACGCCAGGAAATCAAAAGTCAGGTTCAACAGTAGAACTGATGTGTTGTAGAAAGCAGTTCACCGTGCTCTCCTTTTATGGCATCATAATCTCTATGTTTTACATCTGGTGCTCTATCAGGACAGAGCGCCATGCTAATAACCCTAGGTTCTCTTACTGCATGTCTATAGCTATCAGGAACTGCTGCTTTGAAAAACCTGCCCTGAATTTTACATTTAATGTCCTCCTAACCAATGAAGTTGTGTATTTCATTTTGCCTGGATGTAAACAGGAATCTGTGGATATGTAAGTGTGTATTCATGCTAAAAATATTAAAAAAATAATTTGTAATAGGCTCTTTAACAGTCAAAATCATGACAAACTTTTCCTTCTGTAACACTTAAATGGAGATAGGCCACCAATAATATAATCAAAACAGTCAAGGGTAAATCAAGGGTAATTAAAGGGAGATGTAAAACCAAAAATAGTGCCCCAAATAAAAGTACACAGGACAAGCCCTATCAAGAGTGGAATTCTAACTTACCTTGATAATAAGGATTCTAGAAGATCATTAGTCAAAGGTAATCTGAAGGATTTGCACAGCCTTTTAATGTCTTTGGTGGGTAATACATTTTTTCTGCATTAAAACAAAGCAAATGAGATTTTATATACCTTGTATCCCTTTAGTAACAATTATATACTACAGGAAAGAAAATACATCTGTGATGTGTCCTAAGAATGTACACATGGAAGTATGATAATTGGTATTGGAATTCACAACCAGGAAGAACAGTCATATTTCATTTTATCAACTTTTTCTATTTCAGAGGCCACCAGATTCCGTCCTTACAAAGGCTTTTCCATCAAGATGCAGATTCTTGGTTGGTGACAGTACAGCCTATTAAGGCTGTAGCCACAAGTGTTGCTCTAAGTAATTGATCTGCATTCTTGACCACTAGTCAAAAATGGTTCTGATATTTGAAAACATCTCTTAATTTGACAGGCATCTAGAGCCTCCAACTCAAGTATGATATGACTTGAGGGTGTTTTTCTATTCTTTTCCTTGGACCTAAACCTTATAACCTGGAAGCCCCAGCTGGGGCTCAATATTCACTTCAATTTTTTCAGATGCAAGTAGTTTTCTCTAGAGCAGCCCAACAGTCATTTTTTCCAGTCTTCTGAGGGCACAGAAATGCTTGTCCAACGTTCTCACTCAGCCAACAGTTTTCCAGGCATCGGGCAACATTAGAATCAACAGGAAAGAAAGTTGGCTCTCTTCTTTGCAATGAGAATGTCTACATCTAGAATCAAAACTTGTTGGAACTGGGAGAGCCCCAGGCTATCTGGTCAAGCAGCCTCACTGTTCCCAAGAAGTGTTCCTTGAATGAAGCAGGGTCATACTTCTCACTCTGGGGAAGGGGCACCACCAGGGTGGAAGGTAGGGCCAGGACCGTGCAAAACTCAGGCCACACATCTTCTAGGAAGCTTGGGGAAGCTTACAGAGTCAAGGAAAAATACCATCTTTATAAAAACTCAAAGAGGATACATTATGGATTAATAAAAAACATGTTTAAGATAAACTATGGGACCTTCACAGATATTAAGGGTATGCAGTTGGCCACTTGGGTGCAGTTTTCAAGTTTGGGGATAAGGAAAGTGGTCACAAGGAAAAGAGATGGCAGTGGTGTGCAGCAATAAGGCTAGAAGCCAGAGCAAGAACTAAGATTTTTCTAATTCCAGATAAAATCAGTAAATGTATATTTCTCCCCACTGTATCATGTCTATAAGGTGAATACATAAAAACATATTAAGATATTTGCATCCAGTTGTATATAACAATGACTTAATGAAGTTCAACACGCTCACAACCAATGTATAAGAAATTTTTCAAGAAGAAATAATTTCAAAGAAATCTATAAAATGTTTGTTTGAAAACTCCATTTTCTGTTTATCATAAAAGTTGCATTTATAAATCCCAATCAGTACTAAAATAATGCAAAACGACAACACCTCAAAATTAACCCTGCTAACATTTTGATTTACTAAGCTTCAGTTGAAAGCTTCTAGAAACAAATGATAAGAACATGCAAGGGAGCAGCCTTTTCTTTCAAAGATACAAGGCCTCCCCTATTCCATCAACAAAACCAGCCTGGCCAACATGGTGAAACCCATCTCTATTAAAAATACAAAAATTAGCTGGGCATGGCAGTGCATGCCTGTAGTCCCAGCTACTCAGGAGGCTGAGACAGGAGAATCTCTTGAACCAAGGAGGCAGAGGTTGCAGTGAGCTGAGATTGTGCCACTGCACTCCAGCAGCCTGGGCGACAGAGCGAGACACCATCACATACACACACCTCTAAAAAAAAAAGCTCACCATTACTGGGAAATATCTGTACCCAAATACTTCTGCAGATTTAAGGTGGCTTTGCTAAATAGTGGAGTATGATGAGACACATCAATTTTCTTTTTGATAAGATAGAAATTCCTTCATTACTCAGGTTCAAAGAAATGTAAATGATTAGAATCAATAAAACAAAAGCTTACTTTTCTCTATCTTCATACCCACAGGCATAAATGAGACGGTCAAAATTCTCAAAAAAATTTTTCTTGAACTTTTCCTGCGCCAGTGCAAGTAAGAAATCCCCATCTGGACGTGTTTCCTCAGGCACACGATAGTGACGTGCAATGGTTAGAGACTCTTGCTCTGAGAGGTTTCCATGAGTGAAAGTCATTACTATGTCTCTGTAATAAAAATGGAAAAACATTTATGAACTAATATCTAAGAATACAGTATTTTACCTCTCCTTCTATTTAAAAGATCCAAATCCCATTTTACAAAACTTTTACCAAATGCACAGAGGACAGGTGATTTTTTAAAACTTCATTTCTCCATTTAGTTTGGGAGCAGCAGGAAGGCACCAATGCCAGAATGGAAAAATCATAGGCACTGTAGCTTATAAATAAAATGGCATTTTGCCCAGAGTCAAATACCTACCAAATAACAGCCTGTAACCAGGAAGTATATATATGTTTTTTGAGACAGAGCCTCACTTGTTGTTGCCCAGGATCAAGTGCAATGGTGCAATCTCAGCTCATCACAACCTCCGCCTCCCGGGTTCAAGCAATTCTCTGCCTCAACCTCCCAAGTAGCTGGGATTATGGGTCCCAGCAGCCATACCTGGCTAATTTTTGTATTTTTTCAGTAGAGACAGGGTTTCACCATTTTAGCCGGGCTGGTCTTGAACTCCTGACTTCATGATCCACCCACCTTGGCCTCTTAAAGTGCTGGGATTACAGGCATGAGCTACCATGCCCAGCAGGAAATATATTTTTAAAGGCCTTGAATGGTCAAAAAACCTGTCACGAAGTACATGAGTTTATTCAATGCCTATCAATCTTCCTTATACAAAATAGTAACAGACTTGGGTTTCTGGTTTCCTGGGGCATGACATTTGTAAGTTAATGAATTAGAAAGGTATTTCGGGATGGGGAAAGCAGTCATGCACATTTCTGTAATAAAAAGTAAAAATGGACATACCCTGGCAGTGAGAAAAAAATAATAGAAAAAAATGAAAAGGTAAAAGATCTATGTAAGCATACAGCTGTCTGCATCTTTAGAAGGCAAATGATACTGAGATTATTAGGCAGAGCTAAAAAGAACTAAACAACAAGATATCAATGATGAAGACTCAAGGCCTAACAAATTGCCTGAATTGCTTTCAATGTATGAAAGCCATAAACTATGCAGCATACATTAGAAAGCATTAGATCAAAATGATTAAAATGCAAAATATTATGGTGGTAACAGGAATAAGCTTCCACTGTCTAGAAAATTTATTTACTGGAAATAAGTCAGTTCCCAAGAATCCCAAATAGAGGTCTTTCGGAATAAATGCGTTCAGTTTTTTTAGGTATTTCTGGACATTATCATTTAATAATTCTAGATTCTCCTAGTCAAGAATATCCGGAGTCTAGGAAAGCCCACAGCAATGACGTTGACCTATCTAAAGGAAATTCATTTCATCTACATCTACTTCTCAAGTTTCCTGGGTTGTTTTGTTTTAATTTGTTTTTACTTTTGTATTTTAATGGGAAATGAATGCAAAATCCCACCAAGCTGATCCCAGAATTTCAGCAAATCAGGTCAGACAATCAATTAGTAATATTGACAGGAGACTCGCTGTATGGAAAGCACTGTAAAAGGCTCTCTGGAATTCGAACTTTTCAGAGTCTGTTATTTATTTGCACTGTCCAGGCATATAGATGATCTTTCAAAGCTACAAACTGGTAGGGCCACTTAAATAAACGGAGTAATAGTAATAACAACCTCTGCCATTTGTTGAGTACTAACTGTGTGCCAGGTCCTGTGCTAGCAGGAACTTCTGGCATCTGGCCTCTGGCCTAGGAGACAGCGCTACTATTGTCCCCACTGTACAGATGTGAACTGTACAGGCACAGAAATATTAAGTAACTTGCCTAATGTCACAAAAGCCAGAATGTGAACCCATGTAGTCTGGTTCTAAAGCCCATGCTTGTACATACTACTCTTTCCCTCTTGTGCTGGGACACAAAAGGCGGGGACAATTGATAGAGTGGGGCTCAGACAGGAAATCTGCCTGAAGGCAGTGGGGTTTAAGCTGATTTTTTATGGACCTCTATGGCCTTTATTGTCCATCACCTCTGCTTTGAGGGCTATCACTAACCATCATAAAAAAGTAAGAGAAAATAATTTCAGAAAACCTGAGTCACCAACCATCTCTGACAGAGGGCTAAGTAACCACAAAAGAGCCACTCCAAGGAAAGCCCCTACCTGCTTTACAGCACTGGTCAAGAAATAATCACTCACGCCATGTGTATAAAATGGAACACTACATCATCACTAACAATACGATGTTTAGGGCTGAGCACTTTTGGAGGCCGAGGCAGGTGGATCACCTGAGGTCAGGAGTTCAAGACCAGCCCGGCCAACATGGTGAAAGCCTATCTCTAGTAAAAATACAACAATTAACTGGGTGTGGAGACACACACCTGTAATCCCAGCTACTGGGGAGGGTGAGGCATGAGAATCACTTGAACCCAGACAGTAGAAATTGCGGTAGCCGAGATCACACCACTGCACCCCAGCCTGGGTGACAGAGCAAGACTCTGCCTCAATAAATAAATAAATAAATAAATAAATAAAAATTAAAAAGAAGATTATGGAAGAATAAATTGAAAAGCTAAAAAAAAAAAGATATGATATCTAGGAGGCTGAGGCAGGAGGACTACTTCTGCCCAGCAGTTTGGGGCTGCAGTGAGCTATGACGATGCCACTGTACTCCAGCCTGGGCAACATAGTGAGAATTCATCTCTACCAAAACAAACATACAAAAACGTTAACTGGGCATGGTGGCATGCACCTATAATCCTAGCTACTTGGGAAGCTGAGACAGGAGGATAATTTGAAGTTAGGAGTTTGAGGCTGTAGTGAGCTATGATCATACCACTGCACTCCAGCATGAGTGACAGAGCAAGACCCCATCCCTAAAAAAAAAAAAAAGTATGATATTGATTGATATTTATCAGTATGATAGATGTCCATGCTATATTGGCAAATGTAGTATGATCCCAGTGAAAAATCAAAATATAGGTGCACATATCATCATAGAAGGAAGACCAGAAGGATGCATGCCAAAATATCAATAGTCCCTGATGGCTGAGACGTCTTTAAAAAAAAAATATTTCCATTTTTTCTGAATTTTTGTAATAATCAAATATTATCTTCATTGTCTAAATGAAAAAAGAAAAACATTAGAAAGCATTTCTTTCTGAGAGTAGAATATGGTGTGAAGAAGAGAAAGTGGCATGCTCCCAAGGACAAGGAAAAAGAACATGTGCAGCAATAACTAGAAACTTTCCATACACCTTTCACTAAACTTAGTATAGCACCACCAGAACATAAAAGTTTATTTTTCTTTTCATAGGATAAACTGAAATTATCCTGGCTTCACTGCAGTTAAAATTTATGTCTGCTGGGTTTCTGTATGCTTGGGTTTTAAACAGCTCAGTATTCCACAGTTTTACATGGCTTTACATGAGAGTTTCAAACAAGCTGCGCTATACTTGAAACTGCCAACAGCCCTGCAAGGCCTCAGGGGTTCCTGGAGCGGCTGCCTGTGTGGCTGCTGCGCCCACATGAGTCAGGTTCCTGCACCAGGGATCTTAATCGGGATGTACAAGCCTTACCTTGCAGACCTCAGATGGCTGCTGCCACTCTGCCCCACATTTGCCACATGCGTTTTTCAGGACTCACCCCCACCCTGTTAAACTTCAGTAGGATTCACAAAGAATCAAAAATCATTTCAAAAGTCACACATTCCATTTTTTTAAATTTTGGTAAAATACACATAGCATAAAATTTGCCATTTGTGACATTTAGTATATTCACAATGTGCAACCACCACTTCTATCTAGTTCTGAAACATTTCCATCACCCCCAAAAAACCCCATACCCATTAAGCAACCACTCCTCTTTCCTCCATCCTTCCCAACCCTCCTCCCTACCCAGTAACCACTAATCTGCTGTCTCTACAGATTTGCCAGATTCTGGATATTTTATATAAATGGAATCATATAGTATGTAGTCTTTTGTGATTGAGTTCTCTCACTTAGCACATTTTCAAGGTTAATCCATGTTGTAGCATGTATCAAGACTTTGTTCTTTTTTGCAGCTGAATTCTTATTCATTATACTATCATACCATTGTTCATCATATGAATGTACCATCTTTGTTTATCCATTCATACATACAGGGACATGTGGGTTGCTTCCACCTTTTGGCTATTGCGAATAGTGCTGCTGTGAACATCTGTGTACAAGTTTTTGTTTAAACACCTGTTTTTAATTCTTTGGGGTACATATACCAAGGAGTGAAACTCCTGGGTCACAGGTAATTCTGTTTAACCTATTAAGGCACTGCCAAACTGCTTTCTGCATACTCTATTTTTGCTTAGCAGCAGCCACAAAAACATAGGTCCAGCTTCCATCAAGCATAGCCCTTCCTCACCTAAAACTTCATACTGAACTTGAAATAAGATCTGATAGCAAACTCTGATCTCAGTACTTCTTAACCAATCATTTAACGGAAATAAAAATGTATTTTTTTATTCAATTAAGAGATGGGATCTTGCTATGTTGCCCAGGCTGGAGTGCAGGGGCAATTCACAGGCGCGATTCCACTACTGATCAGCACAGGAGTTTTGACCTGCTCCATTTCCGACCTGGGCCAGTTCACCTCTCCTTAGGCAACCTGGTTGTCCCCTGCTCCCGGGAGGTCACCATATTGATACCAAACTTAGTGTGGGAGCGCACTACAGCCCGGAACTTCTGGGCTCAAGCAATCCTCCCACCTCAGCCTCCCGAGTAGCTGGGACTTCAGGCACGTGCCACCGCGCCCAGCTAAAAATGTATTTTTAAAGGCAGTTGTTATTGTATTGCTCTTGTGTTCTGTGATTATTATAAGTAATCTTGAAGATTTAGATAGCAAGTTACCTTTGTCTTTAGCCAACACTGCACTACATTCCTGGCACTAATATTTTATACAGTATAATACTATAATATCACAGTATTATTTAGTTAATCTTATAAGGGATACTGCCATGATTTTCTCTTGGCTTTTGTAACTAAAGTCATAAGACTTAAAAAAAAATCCAAGATGTTCTAGGGTATTCAGAATTCTATGCAGAATTCTGAAACATAAAATG